TCCCCAGCTGTAGATTTGACCTCAAAGATGCCATCTTCAGCAGTAAGGATGGAGATGTCAAAAGTACCACCTCCAAGGTCAAAGATAAACATATTTCTCTCAGAGCAACATTCTGTCCAAGCCATAAGCGACAGCAGCAGCAGTTGGCTCACTGATGATTCGGAGCACTTGAGACCAACAATGATTCTAGCATCTTTGCTGGCCTGATATTGGGAATTGTTGAAATAGGCTGTTACTGTGACCACAGCATTTGTGACAGTCTTCCCAAGGTAAGCTTCAACAATTTCTTTCATCTTGGTCAAGACCACAGAAGATACTTCTTCTGAATAGAAACTTTTGGTCTCCCCTTTGTACTCCACTTGGACCTTAGACCTGCCTGTGTCATTTACCACCACGAAAGGCCAGTGCTTCATGTCTGACTGTACAACTGCATCATCAGATCTGCAACCAATCAGAGATTTGGCATCAAAAACCATGTTGGTGGGGGTCATTGCAGCTTGATTCATTGCAGCATCACTCATTAAATGTCCTGTGTCGGTGAAGGCGACGTAGCTTGGGGCGGTCCTGTTTCCTTGGTCATTAGCAATGATCTCCACTTTCGCATATTGGAAGACTCCCACATGGGAGTAAGTGGTGCCAAGATAAATGCCAACTGCAGGTCCATTTGACACGATTGCTGGGGAGTTGGGAGTTGTAGCTGACCACTATGGAGGAAGACGATGTTGAACTTCACTAACATCCCCACTGTCCTTCAAAGACTGACATTTGGTCTGGGCAGCTAAGTGGTGAAGTGGATAGAGCACTGGCCCTGGAGTCAGGAGGACCTGAGTTCAAATCTGGCCTCAGATACTTGACACTAGCTGTGTGACCCTGGACAAGTCACTTAACCCCATTTGCCTGAAAAAAAAAAGACTGCCATTTGGTCATGCTTTCTCATACTGCACTTGTGAGGTTGCTGTATTGAACCCAAGTGTGAAACTATGCATTTATGCCTAATAAATCAACCTGACGAGACTTCTGACAATGGTGCTCAATGTATTAGCTAGCTATCTCATGAGGTTCTGTGCCATCTATACATTCAAGAGTAGACCATCTATGCCTTTCTCCAGGTGACTGATGGAAATCAGGCTCAAGGCTGTGCATGCACAGATCCAGGGGCACTCCACAAGGGACCTTCAGGGGAACATGGAATTTTTAATGATTACTCTATGGGGACAACTACTCAACCACTTCCAAGTCCATCTACACATAATGGTTATCTAGCCTACAGCTTTCTAATAGGTGCACAGGAAGGGTATGGTTGTCAAATGATTTGCTACATGTAGGTAGATAGACCTGTCTGGTAACTGTCAAAAAGGGAAAGGAGGCTGGTCTTTCAGGGTCTGGCCTGCAGGAAGCAGGCTGTTTATTGGGTTCTGCCTTCTCTTCTAGACCAATTGGGGCCATCCATGAAATAATACAGTCTAGACTTCTGCCAGGAATTGAAGCCAAGTTCTATGACTGGCAACTTACAGATTCTGATCTCAGCCTCCCTTTTCACTTCTAAAAACATTGGAGCATTTACGCTTTTCCAATCTTTGAGTATTTTTCCTCTTTTTTGTTAGCTGCTTCATCAGCTCAGCAATCACACCTTCTGGGTAGTTATCTCTGTGTCCTGCAATGCAGTTCTGCACCTGGTGACTTGGACTCATCAAAGGCAGTTGGGTGCCCTCCTACTACATCCCTACTTATCTTGGGCATCAATTACCCATGATCTATTTCTACTCTATTCTTCCCAGTCCAGAGATCATTCTCCTTGGCAGAGAAGATATAAATAAAACATGAACTGAGCAGCTTTCCCTCTGCCTGTTATCTGCTGTCATCCTTCTGTCCACCCTGAGCAGTGGTGTGAGCCCTTCTTTCAATCTCCTCTTTCCCCAGTCTAGGCAGCCTTCAAAAAGAACACTTTGGGTCATCTTTGGCGTTTGTGCCGGCTGTGCTTCTGGTTCATTCTCCATTGCTTGCCGTTGCTTCTACCTTCTGTGCCTGTCTTTCACAAATCTAAGTGGCTGGAGGAGTTGTATGGAGTGCATGGAGGTTGGTTTCTTCAAACAGCTCCTCCTTTGTGTCTTCCTCACAAGTGCTTCTCTCCGTGTCTTCAGAAGTGAATTCTTGTGGCCTCTCTGGCTTGTGATGACTTCCCATATGCGTTTTTGGTTCATGGAATCCTACCCTTTTATTGATCTCCGTGAAATCTGCTCTCCCCAAATCAAGACCATACATCAGACGACACTTGGCTTTCCCTCCCTTTTCTTTTCTTCTTAAAAAATTTAAAAAACATTTTTAGTTAAAGTTTTGAGTTCCAAATTCTATCCCTCCCTCCCCACCCAAGACAGTAAGCAATCAGATATGTTATATATGTACAATTATGTAAAACATTTCCATATTAGTCATTTTGTACAAGAAGATTTGAATAAAGAAAAAAAAATGAAAGGAAGAAGTGAAAACTAGCCTGCTTCAGTCTGTATTCAATCCATGTCAGTTCCTTCTGTGGAGGTGGATAGCATGCTTCATCATGAGTCCTGTGGGATTATCTTGGATAATTGCAATGCTGAGAAGAGCTGTCATTCACAGTTCTTCATCGCACAATGCGGCTGTTACTATGTACAGCGTTCTCCTGGTTCTGCTCACTTCACTCTGCATCAGACCATACAAGTCTTTCCAGGTTTTTCTGAACTCTGCCTGCTCATCATTTCTTATAGCACGATAACATTCCATTACAATCCTATGCCACAGCTTGTTTAGTTATTCCCCAATGGATGGGCATCCCCTCGATTTCCAATTCTTAGCCACCACAAAAAGAGCTGCTATAAATATTTTTGAACAAATTTCTGTACTAGCTATATGGCCCTTGGCAAGTCACTTAACCACTGTCTGCCTCAATTTCCTCATCTGTAAAACAGGGATGAGAACAGCATTTACCTTCCAGGTTGTGAGGATCAAATGATATAATAATTGTAAAGAACTGGGGACAGCTCCTGGCATACAGTAGGCACTTAATAAATGCTTCTTTCTTCCCTTCTTCCCTGGTGTTTCTGAAGAGGCATCTGTACAAGCTGTGAGGCAGCTGGCACATAGGGAGCTGGGAGAGGCCTATCTTGCAGGCCTTGGCTGAAGATCTCGGGGTAGGATTTTTTTTCACTTTTCTTTCTTAACTGTTCATCTTCTGTACCACTTGCTGTATTTCCGACTGTTTCTCAGGTGGCGGGGGAGGAGGACATTGAATTTGGCCAGAATGTTTCCCTCTGCCTTCTTTCCACAATACCTTTTAAAAAATCTTTTTAAGAATAATGCATATTGAGAGTATCTTTGATGAAAATATGAGAAGGAAACAAGTAGATTTTTATAAAGAGTTCTGTACTGTAGATTACAAATTTACAATCCAACAACTGACCGAAAAGTGCAGAGAATACAAAATCCTACTCATGCTCATTTGTTAACATAAAAACACTCCCCTTGGGTCAATAGACCAAACACAGCTTTGAGGGCTGCCCTCCACAAAGAGATCCTTGTGCACCAGGACAGATCCCACAGGATCCTTCCACACAGCTGAGACATGAGTGGGTCCAGGCATGGCACAGGGAGGGAGGCCATGCTCCCCAAAGTCACTCACTACGATCAGGAAAGATGCCTTCCTTATGCAGGGACAAGAGGAAGAGCATTCCTCATCAGTGGTGAGGCCTTCCTCATGTTCCTGTTCATAGACCATCTTGTACTAAGGAGGAGGGTCATGGATAGACTGCTGACCTTGAAGATACAGGACCTGCGTTCAAATCCTGGCTCAGATACTACCTGGATGACCTTGGGCAAGTCCCTGAACCTCTCTGGGACTCAGTTTCTTCATCTGTAAAATCAAGGGGGTTGCTGGAAGGGCTTGGAGGCCCTTTTCTATTCTAGTTCTGTGACTGGACAGCTCCAGGGCCCAGAACATTGCAGGCCCTAAGCAAAGATATCCACGATTCTTATTCAAGAGAGATTAGCCCAGCAGGATCCGTGGGAGGGGCCGCAAGGCTGGACGGAAGGCTGAGGCCAGCAATGCTCACTGACTTGGGAAGTGTCTGAGCACATGCTCTCGGGACAGTGTTGCAGATGGACAGTATGGAAGGCCCAGACTTGAAGGGAGACCCCTGGCTGGCAGCTGGAAGCCTGCCTGGTGCTTTTTGTATTCTAGACACCTCCTTCTGGGCAAAAGTTCTCCTGGCTCTGTTCTCTGGGTATGCATCTTAGAACACCACTGTCCCCAAGGAGCTAGAATTGTGGGTGGCAAGGAGGGCCGGTGGAGTCACATTAAGTGCCAGCTCATTTCCAATAAACACCTCACCCCAGCCTTGGGGGGATGGGGGCACAAGCTAAGAGCTTTCTTTGGAAGACCACTAAGGGGCCCCTGGGAATATAACAAGCCCAAGAGGTACCAGCCTTCAGTGAGTGGGGGCTGGAGGGGGAGGGCAGCTCCTCTGTGCACTCATGGAGGGGGTGACCTGCTATCATAATCACTGGTAGGAAAACCCAAGCCAAGAAACCTGAGACCTGCTAAAGCAGGGAGGGAGGTGGCCCTGCTTACAAAATATGGAAATACCTGTAACGGACATTTGTAGGCCACTTTAAGGCTGGTCAGATGCTTTCTTTACAAGACCCCAGTGAGGCAAGTAATGAAGTAGATCTCACTCTTCTCATTTTACAAGGGAGGAAAGTGGGAGCAGGGAGGTAGACTATAACGGGAGACTCCATTGTACTTGCAATAGGAAAGGCCTACGTTGGAATCCTGTGTGACTTTGGCCAGGGCACCCCCTCTCTGAGCCTCAGATGCCTCAGCTGGAGAGGCACAGCCAAGTCTCGAAGCCTAGTCACTGGACTTTAGGCCTTTGGCCACTACAGCATGGGGTTCCCCGGCCTGGCTTTGTAAAACTGCAAAGAAGAAAAGCTAACCAAGCAGTTCAACTGATTTTTAAAATTGCACTTACGTTTGGGCTCATCAGTTGTAACAGCCAGAATGAAATCGCGTGGAGTCATGAATAATTGTCCTTCACATTCTAAAGAAGCAAATAAACGAAACCGTCTCTCCCGAGAAGTGGCAAAGACATCCAAGTCTTCCAAATCTGCTTTACCAGCAGCGACCTGCAAAAGGGAGAGAGACTCGGTTGTTTTCTGAGAGCTTTTCACTGAAAAGATTACTACATTAGACTGAATTAAGCAGGGAATGAAGTGTGGGAAGAAACAAAACAGGAGAGCTGGGTGTGGAGATGTAAGAGGTGGGCGGCTATGCAGTGACCGTGTATCTGTGGTCACACAGTCGGTTACTGGCAGAGACAAAGCAGAAACAAAGTGTTAATTCGGCCGTGTGAGGAGTCCTCTAGTTAATAACAGGTAATCGCAGATGTTGTGACGAGTTAACTCTGGACAGAATTAGTAGATGGTCCTGTTTTTGCAGTGAGATCAAAGCCAGAAGCATGCTTCCCTGTTTGATGAGCACCAGTGTCAACATTTTTCTACCATCGTTTTACTGTTATTTCCTTCAACTAAACTTTAAAATGATTTCCATAAACAGAAACTAGAGTGAGAGATTCTATAACCTCTGTCCCAATGTTAGAAAAATTAATTTATTATTTCTCCAAAACAGATTCTCTTAAGACATCCAGGGTGCATTGGAAAAGAAGCAGAAAAGGGAGAATGAGAAGGCCTGCCTCAAAATCCTTCATTTGGTCATCTCTAAAACAAGGCTGATCAGACCTACATTGGGAGGGCACTGTGAGATTCAAAGGATGTAAAATTCACGAAGGCTCTCTGAAAACTACAAACCTTTACATAAATGTGAGCTACCTCATTATTACAGCCAGAAAAATAATCATCCATCTGGAAAAGTGAACTTATAATAACTTGCTAGTTATTCTCCATTCTCCACTGAACAAAAACTTCAAAAGGGGTTGCTTTTTTTTCCGTACACATATTTTGTCTGCAGATTGTACACAAATGATCCCGGGGGGTACACTGACATGTCTTTTTGGACACCAATGATAACATGCTTACTCTGATGCTTGTAGATGCCATGATTCCATCAGCTCTAGCTCTTCCCTGACCTCTCCAAGAACCCTGACCAATGTGTCACTGGGCTGAGCTCAAGACCTTCCCAATTTTACTAGAGCTTGCGCTACCCTGGCATAGCTTTCCAGAGCCCAGGGTCATCTCAGTGCCATGGCAAGGGATCACAGTAGGGTTCCAATGGAATTAGTTATGCCACTTTTCATGTGTACCAGGCATAGTAAGTCACAGAACAGTATCCAAGTGATTTGAAAATATTCAGTGTGCTTGAAAAGCAGAACATTTTCACTAAAAAGAGCTCATTTCAAATACTCACAAACTGCTTCATTACAGATAGATACCACTCACTCCTGCTTCCTGGCTTCCCAGTCAGTGACTGTTACCAGAGATAACACCCTGGTTACATGTGGCAACCAAATAGACTTGCCCAGAGGCCACAGAAAGTGACCTGTGAAGCGAGGACTGGGAAAGAGAAAGAGGAGAAGAATGTGATCTCCTTCCCAAAGCAATGAGGGCTGGAGGGCCAGAGAGATGCCCCTTTTTCTGGCACCCCCTCTGGGACCCTTAGAACTAAGCTGGAAGGTTGGTAATGAATGGGGATGCTGGGAAGTGGGAGCTAAAGGGATGGCAGACAGAGATGATGCCTGGGCTACCTGGTAGGCCCAGGCTTCTCTGCCCACTAAAGGAATTTACCTACCAGCCGTGCATTCCTAGGTCAACCATGGGGTGCTCTCTTCTGGGCTTCTTTCCTTCTTTTCCCCATTAGGGGAAGGAAAACAGAGATGGACAGAAAGACAGAGAGATAAAGAGAAAGAGACACACAGATGGACAGACAAAACCTGTCCTTCCGGCTGCCCTTCAGAAGCCGCCACTCAGGTGGCCCCAATTGTAACCCTTTCAAATGCCTTTGCTATCCCAATTGTTCTCCAATAAAATTTTGATGGCTATCAATTGTGTTCGGTTCATGAGAACAGTGGTGGGAATTGGGAGGGAAAGTTTCTTTTGTAACTAAAGGAACAGAGCTCAAGTGGTCAGAGCTCAAGTAGGAGGCTAATGGGAGACAGGTAGTTTTTTCCCTTCCATTAAAGGCACCAAGACCCTATTCTTGATTGAATGGGGCTGAGATGAGCCTTGGGTAGGCCTCAGGAACCTCGTGGGAGAAAGCATAACCACAAAAGCCATTGTTGGGGCTAGTTACAAGATGAGGGCCAGGAGGTCTGGCATTGAGCTTGCCTGTAATTCTAGCTGAGCTCACATTTAGCACTGCAGTTGCTGAGGGCCTGTGCCACTGCTAATGCCACGGCTGACCCACTAGCTTCGGGCTGCTGCTGGCCAGACCTGGTGTGAGAGAATTCCAGCACGAAACATAGGCCCCAGCTGACTTCAGAGACTCCCTGAGGTGACCCACATTAGTGAGATGACACCTAGGACCACACTGCCCATTAACCCCAACAAAGCTTATGTGCCAGAGGGCCTAGAACACAGGGAGTGCATAATTAATACAGGGCTGCTTGACTGACTGCTGTTATCACTGAGAGGAGCTCTCAGTACTTCGTTTGGCATGCTTACAGGTTCTTCCATGTTATATGTGTAGGCAAATGCTTCACCCTTTGGACATATGCAGGACAGGCGAATAGCTCTCTTCAGTTTCAAGCAGGTAAGCAGGAGAAGTGGGTAATGCCAAAGGTTCTGACTTACTTTTGCATTCATTTCCACAAAATCTGTGCCCTAATCATTTGTCAGTAGGTCAATAGGCCAGTTAACGAGCATTTATTAAACACCACTATGTTGTAGGCGCTGTTTTAAGGGCAACAGAGTCTATTGATGCTCCTCCAGGAGCACAGAGGCCAGTTCAGGAGACCGGAGGAAGCAAAAGACAACCATTAGGGTGATACATGTGGCTGATGTTCAGAGGGACAGCAAAGTGACCTGAAGGCTTCCTGGAGGAAGTGAATTTGGCTGGGTCTTAGGTTTGTCACAGGAAGGTTGGTGAGAAAGCACTGGAGAGCAGTGGGAGCAGGGGGATGGCATGAAGCAGCTTAAATGGCTAGGTGGCGTGCGCACTAGTAGGGTACACTTGAAGGTGTGTGATAAGATACAGAAACAGGCCAAAGAAAGCTAGCTGGCTCTCCCCCAGGAAATTGCACAATTCTTGTTATGACACCAGATTTCTGGCTGGAACAAAGGCCTGTCTTTTTATCCTCCCACTAGTGTTGGGCTGGTGATGGTGTCTGGCAGTAGCCATGGAACGCGAGGGTGTCCAAAGAAGAGAAGCTGAGAGTCATGCCCAGGACAACGAGAGAGTAGCACATGGTGGCCCTGAGCAGGGGATCCCCTGACAGGCCCCAGCTAGAGGCCAGGTGGCCCTGAAGCAGGAGGATGATAGGACGTCCGCAGCACTTTGGGGAGGTGGATTTGTCATCAGTGCTTAGGACAGAACAAGAGAAAGAGGCTGCTGCTGCTGGAATTCAGGCACACGCTCATTCTATCTACTCACTCCTTCATTTATTCCTTGGGTGCAGGGTGTGTTCAGGGAGGACCAGCCCCTCTGCTGGGAGGGCTGCTCTTCTACTGTTGGTGTCCACATGTCACCCCACTCTCCCCTGAGGCTCCAGGAAGCTGGAGCACGTGAAGTGGCCACACCCCTATAAACCATCTTGGCAGACGGGCTAAGCCAGGTTGAGGCTAACAGAGGGGTCTCAAACCCATTGGTGGGCTAGGGAGTATCTACCCCAAGCATGGGGAGACTTCCCCCAGCAGAATGGGAGTATGAGAACAATTTAGTCCAACAGCCATGGAGGCAGCTGAAGCAGGCCTGTGGAGCCAATGACTTTGTACAACTCTGCTTCATTTCAATCCAATTTATGAGTGAGTGAAAAGACATCACACATACCACTCTACCATTTTTACCTAGCAAGGCCAGTGTTGGGTGAAGCAGACAATTTTTGGGGCACCTTTTTTAGCCCCTTCCTCATTCCAGGAGGTGAGCAGTTTGGTCCTTTAAAAAGGCTGCTCACTATATCAAGTTGCTGGCCTTCTCAATGAGGGTGGGTGGGGAGGAAGAAAGGGAGAGAATTTGGAACCCAAAGTTTTAAAAACAAATGTTAAAAAAATTTTTTTACATGCAACTGGGAAATAAAGTATACAGGCAATGGGGCATAGAAATCTATCCTGCCCTGCAGTGAAAAAAGAATGGGAAGGGGGATAAGAGAAGGGGGGGGTGTGATAGAAGGGAGGGCAGATTAGGGGAGGGGGTATTCAGAATGCATGCCATTTTAGGGTAAGGGGAGAAAATTTGGAACTCAAAATCTTGTGGAAGTGAATGTTGAAAACTAAAGTAAATAAATTAATAAGAAAAGAAAAAAATAAAAGGTACATCAGAGGCAAAAGAAAAGAAAGGCTGCTCAGATACCCGATGTCCCTATGGCCTGGGCTGCAGGGTTGTGACTACAGCTCCCAGTGTATCTGCACCTGCTGCTTCATCACCTGCCTCTTTGAGGTGTAAAAATGTAAAACGGCACGGCTGATGTCTTCTGACTCGCCATAAATTAGACTGAGGTGAGGCAGACTTGTGCCAAATCATCATTCTCAACTCTCTCAGAGTTCAGCGATGAGACAAAAGTCAAGACAACCAGCAACAGTCCAGGATGCAGGGGATGACCTCGGTGTCATCGATGCCTCACCAAGCTCTGGGCGCTCCACAGCACCTGCTTCAGCTGCCTTCCTGCCTATCCGAACAAACTGTTCCTCATTCGCCCATTCCACTGGGGGGAAACCTTCACATGCTTGGCATAGACACCCTCTGCCTCATCGACGGGTGACATCATTGTGTTCAGCATTCTCTTAGCCAATCAGGAGTCAGACCTCCCTCCCTATATGCAACAGCAGCACAGGCCTTTCTCTCCACCCGCCTCATCTGAGTTGTTCTGGGCATTATAATCATAAACTAGAGAGTACATAGGAAAGGGTATCCAGGATGGTAAAGGGCTTTAGTAATTTTTCAGTTTAGTCTGACTCTTCGTGACCCCCTTTGGGGTTTTCTTGGCAGAGATATTGGAGGGGTTTGCCATTTCTTTCTC